GCAAAAACTCAGTGGTATTAGGTCTTAATCACAGTAATCTACATGCTATTTTATATGCTAGGGAATTAAATTTTTCCTTTTGAAATTACATCTTTCCCACAATGAACATGAATTAGTGTCATGGTTTTGCTGGTTCTTAGAAACTAAGAAGGAATTTTTCCCTTCCTCCTGCCCACAGAGTGCAGGGATGTTAAGTGGGCAGTTAAGGAGCAAAAAAAAAGTTGCCTTCTGGTTAATGGCCTCAGAATCTCGTCTCCTGGGAAACGGGGGTGAGGAGTTCCTTCTTACTTTTTTTCCTCTCGTCTCCTGGGAAATGGGGGAGAGGAGTTCTGGTTGGTTGCTGAAGCTGGAACAACGGAGTGGAAGTTCGGTGGGGTTTTGTTCTCAACCTGGTTGCCAGTTGTGGATTCTGCTTGGATTTTAATCAGACACGAAATGTTTCGGGAGTTCTTTTTTTCTTTTCCCTTCCCTGTTCCCGTTTGTTTCTTTCTTAGCAGTGGTTCTTGTGCACATCAAGGGGAGAAGGAAAACTATACCAAACGATTTGGTCAACAGTGTCCCAGTTTAAATGAGACAAAGGTCTTTGGCTGAGGATGGATTAGGAGAAAGAGACCCAAACTTCCGTTTCTAAGAAATTATAAATCCGAAATTAAGAGGCTCCAATTGAAGGAAAACAAATTATGGAAAAGGGAAAAACAACAGCCCTTTATTAAAAGGTATGTGTATATTAACAGGAACACAAAAAAAAAAAAAAACCACAAGTAAAACAACCAAGCAATACCCCTATACCCACCAATAATCCCCTTCAAGAACAAAACCGATAAACAGGCAAAAAGGGAAATCAAATAGTTCAATTTTTAGCATCCTTTGGTGCAGTTCCAGCCACAGTCAGTAGGGGCGCCTTCGGGTCACTGGAGATGCAAAATTTGTAATGTCTTATACCATTCACCAGGTGGTGCTGTTGAGTTATCAAAGGTGCAGAACTTGTAATGTTCTATAGTAGTCACCAGGTGGCGCTGTTGGATCACTGGAGGAGTAGAACTTGTAATGTCCAGTGCCCGTCACCAGGCGGCGCTGTGAGATCCTTGGTTGTCGCCGGGTGGTGGGGGAGGAGGGGGGAAGGGGGAGGGAAACAAAAAAAACAGTAATAAAACAGAAAGTTCTCCCAATGGAAGAAAACTCACGACCTTCAGCTGGTGAGGATTTCACGGTGAGCCAGGCCTGCAGTCAGCAACAGTTAAGCAGAGAGCAGCAAAGACTCTCCTCCGACAGGAAAAAAAAACAAAGAATCATAGAATCATAGAATAGATTGGGTTGGAAAAGACCTCCAAGATCATCAAGTCCAACCCCTGATCCAACTCCAATTACTATAGCATGGCACTAAGGGCCACATCCAATCTCTGCTTAAAAACCTCCAGGGATGGTGAATCCACCACCTCTCTGGGTAGGCTGTTCCAATGCTTGATTACCCTCT